GCGGCCGTCTCCATGGCGACCGCCCTCAGTGCCGCATCCGGAGGCGGCGGGGCCGAAGCGGCCTGTCCGCAGGCCCAGGGTCGCAGGCGCGGCGTTGGCGGCTGCACAGGGACGAGAGGGCCACGGCTTCCTTTTTAAAGCAGGATCTGCTGGCCCTGAGCTTGCCCCAAGGCCAAGGCCTGGGAAGCCGGCGCCGCCCCCGGGGCGACAAGCCCGAGGGTCCCCACCCCCCCAGTGGGGCCGGCAGGGCCAAGACGGCGAAAACGGGGCGGCCGTCCCTTTAAGGCGAAATCTCAAGTTGTCCAGCCCCTAGCCCCTTTAAGACGACCAGACGGTGTCCGGCCGGCCTAGTGCGGTGGCCGCCCCTTGCCAGGGGGTCGAGACTAGTCTCCCCAAAGAAGAGGAAGGGCCACCCCTTTAAAAGGGACCGAAAGCTCTCCCCGAAACGCAGACCTCCCCTTTAAAAGTGTCTCAAGTCCTCCGGCTAAAAGAGACCACCCCTTTAAGGAGTCCTGGGTCCTCAAAACAGCAGGCCGCCGCTTGAAAGGCTCGAGAGTTTGTTTCCAGTCCTCCACAAGCGGCCACTTCCCCTTTACGCTGAATTTAAAGGACTTTCTGGAGTGGGGAGGAAGAGGAGGTAAGAATCCTCACTCGCTCCAATTCTCCCAACAGCAGTTTTCAATTTGTCAGCTCCTGTTCGGCGGCTTCCCCTTTAAGGCTGGCGTTGTAGTCTGCCGAACTCAGTGGCCACCCCTTTAAGGAGATTTAAAGGGGCCTCCTCCAGTCCCAGCTCTTCCAGCCTCCGCCTCCAGTCGCCATGAAAGGCGCGAGGGGGGGGCGGGGCCGCGGGGGCCAGCCCTCCAAAGCCCCGGATGTGAGGCAACAGTGACCGGTAGAGCTTCTCTGTCTGCCGACATAAAAGTCTCTTCCTCCTTTCTTCGTCTCTGTATGACGCGCTCCTTAAGGGATCCGAAACAGCCGTTGGTCAGCGGGGGAGCTCCAGCGCACCCTCTTGCTGTCTCCCTTGGAGTCTTGGGCCTCTTCTCCGCCAGCACTTCCCTACCCCCCTCCCTCTTCCTCAGCCTACGCCTCCTTCCTCTCTCTGCCTCCTCCCACTCTTCGCCCCCTTCCCCTCACCCCTCCGCAGGCTTAGTCGTTGATTGGTGGAAAAGTGCACGTCAGGGCTGGGGCGGAGTCAAACTCGGGGAGTGGGTAATTTGTAACCGCCCTCAAGTTCCGGATTGGACGTACGTCAGATTAGTTCCGTCCTCCACCAAGTCTCGTGACTCGACTGGCTCGGAGTAGGTGCCTGGGCGGTCCTGCAGAGGGTTCCGCCTTTTCCCGGTCCGTTCATTGGCCCACCTTCTGACGGCGTCAAGGCCGGGAGTCCGTGGTGCTGCGCGAGGCCGGGGGGCGGTTGGCCGCTGGGCGGCGCGCGGCTGCGGAAGCTCCCCGTCGGCCCCCAGTGGCGTCGTCTCCCTTTCCGCCGCTGGGCTGGGCCCACAGGCCGCCTGGCTTCGCGCGCACGCGCCGCGGCGCTGACGTCGGGCGGGCAGCTCGGCAGCGTTAGCTTCTCGGCGGAGCGGGTGGCGACCGCCGGACGCGCAGGGAGGAGGCCGCGTCGCCTGTCCTCTCGGTTCCGCGGGAAGGTGCGGGCCTGTGCTCTGCGCGCGGACGAAAAGAAACCCCTTGCTCCGCTGGGCCGGGCACTTCCTCACGTATCGACTCGCGCGGTAGTAAGAATTTTTGTAGGAAGATACTCTTAGGAGCCCCATTTTACAGAGGGAGAGGGGACTGGCCACCAATACTTAGTTTCCTAGCGAGGACTTGTACTCGACCTAGCCCTGGGTCTGGCCCGTGCTCTTAGCCGCTGCTGTTTTGCCTCTGGTTGGCTGGTCACTCTGTATGTGGACACGGCACTGATCCACTCCACCTGCTTACCCTCGTATGAAATGGGGTTACTGCACATCAAGCACCGCGGACAGTGTGCTGTCGGTGCTGCTTCAGTTGATTACTCGTAGCTTTTGAACCAGCAGCAGGGGCTGCCTGCATGTTAAGAGGAATTCAGGGCCATCTCGATCCAGGCCTGGGTCCCCTCTGGGACTTGCAGTCTCCTCTTTGCTGTAAGTGAATTGGAATAACCCTGACAGGGCCCCTGATCACAGTATCTTCTGGAGCAGGTTCAGAAGTGTTCCTCCACACAGGAATACTCGCCAGTAAATCAAACATCTCCAGCGACCATTCCCCACCCGCTCCCTGGGTCGAACCCTCATTGCCTTCCCTGACACCTTCCCCATTTCCCAGTCTTTGAGAGCCAAAGTAGTGCCAATCATGCCAATAGTGCCAATCAATTTCAAACTCAACTTGGAACATACAAAGCAATCAGAAACATACCAAAAACTTTACTAGAAATACAGAGAGAAAAAAAATAAAATGGTCTCAGAGGCTTCCCTTCCCTCCAGGATGGATGTACAGATAAACAGATGGAGCTCCTAGGTCGGATGGGGCTGCTCCCTAATCCACTTCCTCCTCTTCCAGGAGCAAGGCATCCAGCTCCTCCAGCCGCTGCTGCAGCAGGGGTCCCACATCTGGGCCGGGGGCCAAGTTGGGAGTAAGGGTCCTGCCAGCAGCAGCTCGGACCCCACGAGACGGCCGCCGGGATCGAGGAAGGCTGCTGTCCCGAAACTCCATAGCCCGCCGCAGCTTCCTCGAGCTGGTCAATATCAGAGTCCCATTGCGCACCCGGGGTTCCTCAAAGATGGTCTCAAATGTCCTGGACCAGGCAGGGAGAGGTGCTGGTTACCAGCACGCCTCTGGTTCGAGCCTTCCCTCTATCACCCCCAAGCCTTCACCGTTTCTCACCTCCTCGTCGTAGGTGACTGATAATTCTTGTTGGTGTAAATTTCTTCCAAGCTGAACTCCTTCTTGTTCAACCTGCGAGCAAAGAGCAGAGGCCACTGAAAAACCTGGGACCAATGGCGCCTGGAGATGGGAGAAGCAGGGCCTGGTCTGTATTTCAGTTTCCGGGACATGTCAGATGCCAGAACTGCCTGAGGCAGGCAGATAGTTCTAAGCACAAATCACCAGACTGGACTGTGCTCCCTGAGAGGAGACAAAGCCACACTTAAGGGAATGTGAGTCAACATCTGTTTGGCCAAGGCAGCTCCACATACAATAAGCATTCACCTGATCGGTCGAGGCAGCCCCATTGGTGTAAGGTTTAGTTGAGGACGGGCCAGTGTCCTGCGTATTCTAAATCGAGAAACCTTCCCCATGGTCTGCAAAAACGGGGCAGAGGGTAAGAGTGCAGTATGGGCACAGGCTCCCACTTAGCTCCTCCCCCTCATCTGTACACCTACCTTGGTCTCGGGGCCGGAAAGCACTTGGTCCTCTGAGGCCCGTGGCTCCTTGCCCTTGGCCGAGCCCAACCTACAGAGAAGATGAGGGCTCAGGGCCAAAAAATATCCATAGCAGTATCCCCATCTCCTGCCCATGGGACACCAGGGCAGCAGGCTAGGCCCAGGCGGTGGCCGGGGATTGAAGGGCTGATTGAGAGCACTACCTGGGTTCTGCAGGTTCAGAGAAGGAGGAAGTGGATGCAGAGGACGAACAAGATGTGCCGAGGGGAGGAGAGCCTCCCACTCCTCCAAGAGGGAAGACCTCTTTCCGGAGACAGGGTCGAGGGGGTGGGCGGGCTCCAGCCATCTCCCCACCACCCCCAGTGTGCCGTCGAGGCCGTGGCCCGGCTTGGGTGGTGTGGAGCAGGGGGGCCAGCTGCAGGCATCTGAGCCAGGAGGCCCCAGGTCAGGGCAGGAGTGGCTTCGGCCCAGAGATGGCTTAGGAGGAGATGCTGGGGGATTGTGGGCTTGGGCTCGCCACTGGCGGATAGGGGGGCGGGGACTGACAAAGGCAGTATCCTCAGCAGCCCTGGACTGCTCAGCCTCTGAGATGGCAATCTTCAACTCCAACTTCATGGGGGGCGAGGGGGGTGGGGGCTGTGGGGCTTTGATGGGTGTGAGGAAGATGTCTGCAAAGCTCTCTAGCTTGGAGCGGACAGAACGGAAGAGGGGAGCCAAGCCCCAGGGACTGAGGCGAGGGCGTAAAAGGCTGGACGGCGGCGGGGTCGATGGGGCTTCCAGAACCGGATCTGGGGCTGAGGAAAGGAGAGGGTCACAGGTGGGCATTCCTCAGCTGCAGGTGTCTAAACCCCAGTTTAGTAACTTCAGCCCCTCCCCAAACACTCAACTGCCCACAGAGGAAGCCTATTCCTAAAAAAAACCCCTATATTTAGGAGTTGGACAACAGGCCTCTGAGGTCAAAATCCCTTCTTCACATACCAAGCTCTGCCCTGGGAGGGGGTGAAGCCCCTCTGCACCGGACACTGAGCTCAGCTAGGGTTTTCCAGAGCCCCACACCTCATCCCTGTCTCAGTCCTTACTTGGTGATGGGTTCTCCAGAGGGTCTGCAGGCAGGGCAGATGGCTGGAAGGGGGGTTCCAGGTCCCTGGACGGAGGCTTTGTCTGGTGACTCATCATCATGGACTCAGCTCTGGGGTGAAGGGGCAAGGTCAAGGCTAGGGAAGCTCCCAGATCCAGATCCCACCTAGCCAGCACCTCCCCTGTCCCTTAAGGCTACTGAAGGTGCTACATGGAACTACTGAACAAGAAAATGCTAATGCCCTAGTTCTGGCTGCCTGTATAATGGTTGTTGTCTGGGTATCTTAATAATTCCTTCCCCAGCCCTCTCACCTTCTCGCTGGGACGATGAAGTTGGGAGTCTTGTCCGCCAAGTCCTGGATATAAACATGGGATGTTGGTGGGGAGGCAGGGAAGCCTCCTTAGCTTCCCACATCCCAACTCTCTCAGCCTCCACATGCCTGCCTGGGTTACACTAAAGACTTTTTCAGCCCTAGCTGGTTTGGCTCACTGGATAGAGCGTCAGCCTGGGGACTTAAGGGTCCCAGGTTCGATTCCGGTCAAGGGCCTGTACCTTGGTTGCAGGCACATCCCCAGTAGGGGGTGTGCAGGAGGCAGCTGATTGATGCTTCTCTCTCATCGATGTTTCTAACTCTCTATCCCTCTCCCTTCCTCTCTGTAAAAAATCAATAAAATATATTTAAAAAAAAAAAGACTTTTTCATTTGGTCTTTGCTCAAGCAGTATCTTCCACCTAAAATGCTGTCCTCTCTTCTCTGAGCAAAATCTAGCCCCGACAACTCTCCTGTCTTCTACCCTCACTGGAGTGCCTGCCCCAGCTGCACCCCTGACATCCTTACCGGAAGTTCCCATACCTCAGTTGGGGGTCTGGGACTGACAATGTCTTCTAGCATCACCACCAGAGTAGGCTGGGGTGCCGCTTGTGAAGGGTCTTCTGGGCCAGAGGTTGTCTTTGATGGACACCTCAGGGTGGGAGAAGGCCGGTTGATGCGGCTCAAGGGCTCTCGGCATAAGTGCAGTGGATAGGCAGGCCTAGAAAGGGACCACAAAGATCAGAGGGGTTCAGCTATGTTACCAGCTCACCCCTATCCTGCCTTGCTCACCTGGCCTGCGATGACCACATAGCCTGTTGGGGTGGCGAGGCAGGCAGCTGGTGGTGAACAGAATCCCAATGGTTGCTGCGGTGTGGTGGGGTGGAGGTCTCCTCTTGGGGCACCAGGGGGACCTAAGAGAGGAGGTGTCAAGAGCAAGGTGATGGCCCTAGCCAGTTTGGCTCAGTGGATAAGAGCGTCGGCCTGCGGATCAAAGGGTCCTGGGTTTGATTTCGGTCAAGGGCACCTACCTTGGTTGTAGGCTCCTCCCCAGCCCAGGCCCTGGTTGGGGCTTGTGCAGGAGGCAACCAATCAATGTGTTTCACATCAATATTTCTCTCTGTCTTTTTCTCTCTCTCTTAAAAAAATCAATGGAAAAATATCCTCAGGTGAGGATTTAAAAAAACACACACACAAAGAGCAAGGTGATGGAATGAGGTTGAACTGGACAGGCCTCCCTGTGCCTGGCAGTGTCCTATGCCACAAAGCTGACAGAGGTTGTGGCTAATATTCACTCAAGATCTCCAAAGAGGTGAGTTAAGCGGAATTGGGCCCAAATATTCGTGTTCTGAGCTGCTGGTGTGGGATCTAGGTAATCTCACCCAAGCTGTTTAAAGAAATGAAAAAAAGAGAGTGATCTTGGGCGAGTGACAGCCCTGATTGGGACCTGTTTCCCTCTGTGCAGTGGAGCAAATGATCGCAGTCTGCTGCCTAAGGTTTGCCTAGAAGTTGGGCTGGGAAGAAAGCAGGAGGGTTTATCACTCTTAGAGTTGTAGGGAGGTGGTTCCGGCCCAACCGGGTTGGCTGGCGGTGGGGAATGGGCACTGGAGACCCTGCCGTCTTGAGGTTGGAGTTAGAGAGCCAAGCACACTCTAGCATTAGGGAGGCTGCCTGAGCAATGAGTGTGAGAAAGAGGTGTTCGTGCCTCAGTCATCCTCACTGGTGAGCAGGCCTGATTGTACTGAGAAGGGACCCGGGGTAGAAGGGAGCCTCTCCTTTCAAGGGGCTCACCATATGGGCAGCCATGACATCTTCCAGCACCACGGCTAGGACCCGCCGAGAGGCCTTTTCCAAGGGTGAAGGGACCACGGGGAGCTGTAGCCTCGGCCGTTTCGGGCTTCTGGCTCCCCATGATGCTCGAGTCAGGGGCTGGCGGCACAGGCGCGGCTGGCCAGGGGGGCTGAGGACGAGAGAAGCGGAGGACAGCCGCTGAGCCTGTCGTTGGCTTCGTGGTTTCCCCTGTACGGTCACCAGGCTCCCCGTTTCCCGAGCTCAAGGCACGCTGGCAGGGTTCGCTCTCACCTGGAGTCCCCGGGCAAGTCCATGGGGGAAGCGGCGGCTCCGGGGAGTCCCTGGGGGATCCCAGGCTGCAGCCTGGGGTGGGAGGTGGGGAGCGGGGGAACGGGGAGTGAGGGCCAGCCCTTTCCCTGGGGCTCCGCCCTTCATGGTAGTAAGCAGTTCTCGGTAGCCGACGGGGCTGGAGACTTGGGGCGCGAAAAAGCGCCCCCAGTCGGCCGTCCGGAGCGTCTGTCTTCCCACTGCCGCCGCCGCCGCAGTCAAAGAATCGCTGCGAGGCACTTGCCGCCAGAACCTGGATTGTAGCGGCCCCGGCTCTCCCACGGCCCGAGCCTCCTGGGGCCTTTGTCCCCGTAGATTCTGCCCCGAGAACGGCCCCCACCCCCATTCCACCCCGGGGTCGGCTGGGATCCTGTCCGGAGCGGCTCGGTTTCCGCCCGATCCCCAGCCACAGCCAGCGAGTGGCCGAGGACTCCGAAGCAATATTCCCACACACCGACGCTTCCCCTCCCACCAGATCCCTCCACTGGATCCGAGCGGAAGGAATCCTCCAGCGCGTTTCCTCCAATCAGACGCCGCGGGAGGGTCCTCTCCCCGGGAGCTTCGGCTCAGCAAAGCTCCACTCCACGGCGGCCCGAACTTGAGCATCGCCAACTCTGTGAGGATCCCCGGGGACCCGCTGTCCAGCAGATGCCCCTCCACTCCAATCCCGGAGGTCCCGCCCACAGACCCCCTCCCTCCCTCTCCCCGCTCCCCGGGTCCCCGCCCAGCTCTCTCCCCAGCCCCGGACCAGAGGGTTCAAAAGTTTCCTTCCCTCCCTCCTCCCGCCCTTTCTGCAGCCGCTCGGTGCCCTCCCCCGCTCACTGCTTACCGCCGCCTCCCGCCGAACCCGGGTCTTCGACGGCTCCCACCTGCGGCTCCTTTAAAACTAGCCTAACCCAGTGCCGCCCAATCGCCGAGGGCCTTCTTCGCGGAGCCCCGGGCAGTGCCCAATCGCCGGCCCGCGCCTTGCTGGGTGGCGAGCAACCCGGTGAAGCCACCTGAAAGCCATCACCTCCCGGGGTGCGCAGCCAAACGTGGCAGCGCAGCTTTTGTGTTCTAGGGCAGATCTCGTTGTTCTCGAGGAACCAGGGTGAGCCGCGTGGCGTCACCTTCTGAGGGCCAGGCGGTGGCGGAAGCCGATGCCAGGTTTCTTGAGACAGTGAGACAACCGTAGCGAAGCTAGCTGGCCGCCACGTTTTTTGAGGGCATCTTCCGGTCCTTTCGCTGTTAGGCCAATCAATGTGAACTGAGTGCGAACGATAGGTGAAATTCCCAGTTTCCTAGAGAGGCTCGTCGAGGCCGGTTTGGTACCATCCTGGGCTCCTCAACCGGGTTCCCACGGCGCTGGGAAGAGGATGGAGTGGGTGGTGAGGGCCGGAGACGAGGACGGGCGCCCCTTCCGGCTCCGTTGCTCGGCGGGGTCCTGGAGAGACCGAGCTGAGCCAAAGTGGGGAGGAGACTGGGGGCGCTGAGCTTAATTTACCCGAGTGTTGTGCACCTCTTCAGGAAAAGGGGTTTCTGCGGCCGCGCAGAGGGCTCCGGATAGGGGCGTCATTGCAGGAGACCAGTGACCTATTCGGCGTGCGCGGAGGGGTCTGGCCTCTTTCCTCTAAGGACCAGGCTCCCGGGAGCCCTCTTTCAAAAGGGGCCCGGCCGCGGAGGCGTGCACATGGTTCTTAGTAGTAAGGGATCAGGGTGGTAATCCCGCTGCTTGGAGAGGCTGCACCATAGAACCTTTATCGGGAGCGGCCCGGTGATGGGGAGGAAGTGGGTAAGTCCTGGCCCTTGCATTGTGAAGGCGTTCTCACCGCCTAACCAAAGCCAGTGCCTCCACTAGTTCTCCTTCCCAGGACTCCCTTGTCTAAACCAGTACATTTTTTAAAATCGATTTTTTAAGAGAGAGAGAAACACCTATTCTGTTGTTGTTCCACTTAGTTTTGCATTCATTGGTTGCTCCTTGTATGTGCCCTAACCAGAGATCAAACTGCGAGGTTGATGTACGGGGAGAAGGCCCTCACCAACCGAGCTACCCAGCCTGATTTTCTTTATACAAGAGAGCCTGAAGCCTAGGCTCTCTTGCCCTGAGGTGCCTCCCCAGCTCAGCAGGATTCTCTCTTATGGGATTAAATGATAAAAGTAATTGGACAAAAGATGACACAGAAAGAGCAGAATTAGCAAGAGTTGGTGTGGAAAGTGAAAGCTCTCCAACTCTATAATCAAGGACTCGTCAATAGCTCTTCCAGGACTATGGCGACTCTCTAATGGCCTGCTGGGCCCTCTGGAATTCCATGATAAGGCTTCTGGTAGAAGTAGGCAGCAGCTCTTTCAGCTAGAAGTGTTCTCTCCCCCTGGATGGAGACTGGCTGCTAGTACCCGAGGATGTTCCTTGGCGGTCTGGTGATGCTCGGAGATCCTTCTCTCTCACTTAATTGCTTAAACACATAGGTACTTCCCAGGCCTCAAGGCAAGAAAAGTTGCCAGGTCTGAGTTTTCATTCTCTAGATCTCCTGAAGAACTCAATGCCAAGGGCAAAGGAGGTAGTCTTAAAGAAAGGGCCTGGGACTGAGTAAGCTGGTAGGTAGGGCACAGCCCTACAACCCTAACTGGGGTGCTGGAGTTCATCAAATTGAAGTCTAAAGTAGAGTCTGGTGTCTTGGCTCCCAGCCCAGGCCCGCAACTACCAGCCTTCATAGCTTCAAGATCTTATTTGGGCCCTCTTGGTGACGACCATTTCAAAATCTCCTATCTTACCCATCACCTGTGTACACACTCTACAGCAGTGGATGAGGATGATGAGGCCCAGAAATCAGGATTTTAAAAAGATTCCCAGGTGATTCTAATGTGCAGCCAAAGTTGAGAACCACTGCTCTACGGTGTGGCCAGAGGCCCCACACAGTCCCCAGCAAGCCAGGCGATGTGGCTGAATATTGGCTGTCGGCACTTCAGCGTATCATTCTTCAGAAACTCTGGGCCCCTTTAGACTGGTTTCCCACCTGCTTAACTGTTCTCTGGCTTCAGTATAATGAGAACAATAAACCCTGCCATGCCTTATCTCAAAATAGACTTGGAAGATCAAGATCAAGTGAGAAGACACATCTCAGTGTGCCTGATAAATAAGTCTCAGGCTACAGGTAAAAAGAGGATGATAAAAACCACCTATTCTTCCTCTCAGAGTGTCCTATGCCTTGTCCTCCCAAGCCAGCTGCTCTGCTAAGTACCTTTCTCTGCAGAAGCCTCTAGCCCAGTGATGGTGAACCTATGACACGCGTGTCAGAGGTGACACTCGAACTCATTTTTTTGGGTTGATTTTTCTTTGTTAAATGGCATTTAAATATATAAAATAAATATCAAAAATATGTCTTTGTTTTACTATGGTTGCAAATATCGAAAAATTTCTATATGTGACACGGCACCAGAGTTAAGTTAGGGTTTTTCAAAATGCTGACACGCCGAGCTCAAAAGGTTCGCCATCACTGTTGTAGACTGATCTCCAGATCAGCCAGGGTGGGCTGGTTAGGATGTGGCTTTAGGCAGCGGTTCTCAACCTGTGGGTCGCGACCCCTTTGGCGGTCAAACGACCCTTTCACAGGGGGCGCCTAAGACCATTCTGCATATCAGATATTTACATTATGATTCATAACAGTAGCAACATTACAGTTTTGAAGTAGCAACGAAAATAATTTTATGGTTGGGTCACAACATGAGGAACTGTATTTAAAGGGCCAGAAGGTTGAGAACCACTGTTTTAGGGTGTTGAGATGAATTTGGGTTGCTGCTCTTGTTTGCATCAACCATGCAACAAAATGTCAATGCCTCCTATATGCTATGTCCTGGGCATAGATAAGTGATAACCAGAATGGTGAGCCAAGGTTTTTTCCCCCAGGGTCCTGTCTCACCACTCCCAAGAATGAGCTCCATGGACCAGAAGATTTAAGCAAGAGTGGAAATTACAAGCAGGTTCAGACTCCCCGCACGAGGAGGGGGGCCCAATAATGGGCTACCCTTGAAAGCCTTGTCTAGGGGTATATATTTGCTACAAGTCTGTTCTATATCTACCCATGGCATCACCTGATTGATTCCCTCAATTGTTCTTGCCCAGCAGCGGACCTGAACTTTCCCTGTTCTTATAAGTCAGTTCACCTTATTGTTGCAGACCCTCCCTAGATTCCTATGCCTCCCACTTTGAGTCCAGAAAAATGTTATTAGTTCTGCTTGGTTGGCTTTTGTGATTAGGCTGCTCACACGGCCGTGTCTGCCCCTGCCTCACCTGCCTTTGTTTTCCACTGGACCCCTGCCCTGTGTGCCTGCATTTCAAGCTAACTTCTCTCACCTGTCCCCAAGAGTTCGGCGTTTATATCCCTACATACAAAAGTGCCATTGGCTCTGCTCATTACCTCAGCTTCAGCCCTCTCCATCCTCAAGTACTCAGCCTACCAGGTGTCAGCACATTCCTGCCCAATTTAATTCCTCTGCCGATGAGCTTTTATTTTTTTAAATATATTTTTATTGATTTCAGAGAGGAAGGGAGAGGGGGAGAGAGAGAGAAACATCAATGATGAGAGAATCATTGATCGGCTGCCTCCAGCACACTCCCTAATGGGGATGGAGCCCGAAACCCAGGCATGTGCCCTTGACCGGAATCGAACCCGGGACCCACAGGCCAATGCTCTATCCACTGAGCCAAACCGGCTATGGCCTGAGGAGCTTTTAAGACCCACCTTTGGGGGCTCCTCCACTCTGGTCAGCTACTTCGAATTGTTAGAATTTATCTGAAAAAGCTAGTACTACCCATGGTCTAACGCTGTCTCTTCCCCAGTCTAGAGAGCCCACCACCAGTTCCATCTTTGTCTTCATTTTTATGGGGGGTGAAGGGGAACATGATAGGCCAGGGTCAAGTTTGGAGGAACTGGTAAAGGGAGGATGTCGGGGAAGGGGAGAAGGTTTGAAGGATTGGAGAAAAAGTCAAGAAGGGTGAAGGGAGCTGCTTATCTGAAACAGTGATATGTCACTGTGCCGGTTATCAATTTATTATCTCTCAGCTCTGAATTTATTCTTTTTGCCTGCTCTGTGAAAAATGGATCTGGGCCCTTTAAATACTTTTTACTTTGCTAGCTGAAATAAGTTTTGTCAGCTAGGGAGACATTGCAGGAAGAAAGGGTTTTGCTTCCTGGTTCCAGTGAGCCCTATTGGCAGGGTCCTGAGGTGCAAGTGGGTTCCCTAGCCCCCAGCTTCTGCAGTGCAGGCAGCTTCTCCAGTCCCAGGCTCCTGCAGGGCGTAGTGGCCAACAGCACGCAATGGCTAGCAGCTCCCCCTGGTATTCATTCACCTTGGACACTTTTGTGGTGGGTGCCTCTGGTGAGACACCTTTCCATTAACAGCTTTCCCTGACACCCTAGAGCAGGGTGGGGAACATCCAGCCCACTGGCCGTATATGCCCGGGAAATCATTTGGTCTGGCCCTGCCAAGGCATTAGGGGTGAGTTAGTTAAATGTTTAACCAAATATAGCAGGCTAATCTTTATTTTATTTTATTTCTTGCAGCAGGCTAATTTTTAAATTGATAATTTTGTATGGCCCAAGAATGATGTTATAAATATCCAAATGGCCCTTGGCAAAAAAAAAAAAAAAAAAAAGTTCCCCACCCCTGCCCTAGAGGGAAGATTTCCAGCAAGTTACACTGGAGTGGCACTTCCGTGATTTCTATCTTCTCTCCAAAAAGTTCTGGATCTCTGCCCTGGCCAGGTGGCTTAGTTGGCTGGAGCATCATCCTGTACACTAAAGTTGCAGGTTCGATTCCTATTCAGGGCACATATCCAGTTTGTGGGTTCAATCCCCAGTCAGGGTGTGTATGGGAGGAACCAATCGATGTTTCTCTCCCCCTTCCTCTCTCTAAAGAGAAATAAAAAACCAAAACAAAACATATCCTCTGGTGAGGATTTAAAAAAAGATCTGGATCTCAGCCCTAGGGAGGCCCAGGTAGAGGCTTTTTCTTGGGTGCTATATCTCAGCAGGAGGGGTAGTGGCTGCTCCTATATATGATATTACTGTATTCTTTAGAATTCTCTTTACTTCTTACTATCTGTAGTGGGCAGAATTGTGTACCCCAAAAGATATGTTCTAACCCCCCAGTTCCTGTGACTGTGACCTTATTTGTAAATAAAGCTGAACTTTTCAGATGTATTCTATGAGGTTATATGGTTTAAGGTGAGCCCTATTCCAGTGACTGGTGTTCTTATAAGAAGAAGAAATGTGGACACAGACATGTAGAAAGTAGAATGCCATGTGAAGACAAGCACAGAGACATATGGAAAGAATGCCATGTGGCAACAGAAGCAGAGATTTGAGTGATGCATCTACAACCCAAGGACTGCCAGAGATTGCCAGCAACCAGCAGAAGTAGAAATAGGCAAGGGAGGATTCTAGCCAGGATCTCGGAAGGAGCATGACCAGCTGATGCATCGATTTCAGATTTCTAGTCTCCAGAACAGCAAGCAAATAAATTTGTGTTGTCTTAAGCTACCACCCAACCTGTGGTAATTTGTTATAGCAGCCCTAAGAAACAGATACGCAACCCAATCCCTCATTTCTCTAATTACCTATTATAACTGATAATTCTTTGTATTAAACTTGTCCTTTTCGGAATTACTATATAGGTTCTCTCTCTTCTGACTGGACCTAGACTTATACCATTACCAACAAAAATACTAGTGTTTCAGCATTAAATCAAATGGAATATCTGAATCTTGAAAGTTCCTACCACAATTACTATGAAGAGCTTTAAGCAGTAAGCCATTTTTGAAAGAGGAATAAAGTCCTTAAAGACATATTCCTTGAAGGCATTCGAATGTTCTATCATACCTGAGAAAGAATAAAAAGTGAGTGCAGAAGGTACCTGTGAAGACAGCTGGCTGACTGAAGAGGAAGAAGTTGAGCTGGACAAATGCCATGTTGCCTAAAGGCAATTCCTGACGTGTATGGTTTCAAGTGGAGGCCAACTCTAGACAACACTCAGGAAACAAGTCCAGGTGGAGTTTTCTGGAAGTGACTGTGTCTAATATTATAGGCTGGGAAGGCAGAGGGACAGTGGTACTCAGGGCTAGAGTGGCAGTGCTGGGGCAGGGAGGTCCATGACACACACAAAACAGATGCACAGCTGTGACCTTTTGTGCAGAGAAAGAGGGCTACATGTGGGATGGCAAAGGCTCCAGGTGGTCGAGAAGGCTCTAAATATGGGCTGAGGCATCCATTTTTTGTTCAACACATTTGTTGAATTCCAATAATGTGACAGGCAAAATATTATGGTGAACAAGACAAGTGAGAGTCCTTGTTTTCAGAGAGAGACAAGTGCGTAGTGAGATCAATGTTAAACTCAACTTATATTTGGCTTCACAAAAGAGCACATAAGCAGAGTTAGAGGAGAAGACTTCCCAGAGAAAGTGAAGAATCATCTGATAATTGAAGGAAAGAAAGTCAAAAGTGGGGGGTAGCTACATAGGTCATCATAACCATGCAAAGGTTCAGAGGACAAAATTTAGGAGGCTTCAAATACATGTAATTTGGCCATCAACCTATCAGAACTAATGCATGCTTTTTAGAATAAATATTTTGAATGCTACTTTTACTATTATGAAAAAAATGAATAGTGAAATAACCATCTACAATCCTACTTTTAAGAAATCAATATAACTCTTGCCCTGGCCACTATGGCTCAATTGGTTGGAGCATCATCCTGTGCCCTGGGAGGTCCAGGGATGTGTGTCTCCTCTCTCTCTCTCTTTCTCCACCTTCCTCCCTCTCTAAAATAATTTTTTAAAAAGAATAACAATATAGATCTTACTATGATTTAAAGGACAAATAAAGTAGTTTATTTAAAAATGTGTATCCAATAGTATATTATACATATCTTAGAATAAAAACTGCAACTACAGGTAACAATATGAATGAATTTTAAGAAGAAAAATGAGCCAGACACAAAAGAATGTGTGCACACACACACACACCCCTTATTATTCAATTTGCATTATGTTCAAAAAAGAGGCAAAAATGATAACATTAGAAATTGGACTAGTTGTTATCCTTGGGAAGGGTAGTGACTGGAAGGCACATGTGGAGAACCTAGGATACTAGAAAGGTTTTGGTTTCTTGATCTGGGTACTGATCATGTGAGTGTGTTCATTTTGTGAAAATTCATTGAGCTAACACTTAGGATTTGTACACTTTTCTGTATCACATTTGTTTTTAAAATTTCTATCTCAATATGTAAATTCTTGGGCAGGGCTTTGCCCTAAGGTTTAGTGAAGTGGTCATACTGAATTAGTCATATGTTTTCACCTACATATAGGATTTCTTGAATACAGCAGCTACAAATGCAGACTGTCACAGATGAGTTGTGTTGGTGATTCAAATTCAAGTGTGGCCATCTGTGTCATGCTTTGCCAAAATGACTAATAATTCTTGGTAAAGTTCCAAACAATCTTGGTAAAGTTCCAATCTTCCTTCCTTGTACAGGTGCTGTCTTTCTGGAAGAGTCAGGATTAAAACTGGACGTATAAGTTTGTGTTCATATATAAAATGAATTTAGGTTTTGTATTCAGATAACCTGTTTTCACCTACATGAATGTCCATGAGGCATTCTAAAAATGGAGGGCAAGGGACTATTTTTTCTTTTTCAATTAGTTGACATTCAATATTATATTTCAGATGTATAGCATAGTGGTCAGACATCCATATAATTTACAAAGTGATTCCCTGGATAAGCCTAGTACCCACTTGGTGGTATAAATAATTATTACAATGTTATTGGCTATATTACCTATGCTGTACTTTACATCCCCATGATTGTTTTGTAACTGCCAATTAGTACTTCTTGATCCCTTCACCTTTATCACCCAGGCCCCCAAACTCAAGTAAGTAACTGACAAGTAGCTTATTGGCAAGTAACTATCAATTTGCTCTTTGTATCTATGATTCTGTTTCTGTTTTATTTGTTAATTTTTTAAAATTCTACATATAAGTGAATCATATGGTATTTGTCTTTCTCTGTCTGACTTATTTCACTCAGCATAATACTCACTAGGTCCATCCATGTTGTCGCAAGTGGGAAGATTTCATTCTTTTTGATAGCTAAGCAATATTCCACTCTGTATTTATTTATTTAAGGGAGGGAGGGAGGGAGGGAGGGAGGGAGGGAGGGGGAGGGGGAGAGAGAGAGGAGAGAGAGAGAGAGAGAGAGAGAGAGAGAGAGAGAAAGAGAGAGAGAGAAAGAGAGAGAAGGGAGAAGGGAGAAAGAAGGGAGAAGTGAGAAGAAGGGAGAAGGGAGAAGGGATCCATTTGTTGTTTCACCCATCCATGCATCATTGGTTGTTTCTTGTATGTGCCCTGACTGGGGGGTCAAACCCATAACCTTGGTGTATCAGGCCAATGCTCCAACCAACTGAGCTACCCCACCAGGGCCATGTATCACTTCTTTATCCCATAGTCTATTGATGGATGCTTAGATTGCTTCACATCTTTGGCCATTTAACTAAGCTGCAATAAAC